AAATCTTTTTTTAATACAAAACTAAACTGCTTTGTTTCACCAATGGTCGTATTTTCACCAGGAACTTTATAGGAATGCGCTGCTATGAAGTAGTTTTCCAAAGATTTTAACAACTTGGTTACTATATTTTCACTGCTCTACATAAATTATAAATTTTGTTATAAAGTTATTAAAATTGTTATTTACTTAAATATTTCAATAAAATATTTTAAAACTCAGATAAATAATTGTTACTTCCAGATTGGATAAAGATGTTGATGCTGTTGTTTGAATAATGGGAAAATCTCCTATAAAAAATTTTAGTTTACATTCTTTATCTTTAAAAAATAATTTTGAGAACATAAAATAGAAGATTTATTATACCCGGTATGTTGTAGTCAAAATTAGCCTTAAACAAGTTTGATATGGAATTTACAAATGGCTGAGTCATGGTATCAAAACTGTCTGCACCAATTAGTTTAAGATTCTCTTTTGTAAGAAGATCAGCTAACTTGGTAATAATATTTGCTGCCTGTTCCTAAAAATTGGAAAAGTAAAAAAATTGTTTTAAATGTTAAAAATATATAAAAAAAGTTAAACATATCTTGTTCAGGCTAACCATTTTTATCTTTATGAAAACTACTTAAAATAACTTTTAATTGTTTTAAAAACATTACCCCTTTGTGTAACAATGTTTAAAATAATATATTAAGTGCAATCACAATTAATGAAAAACAAGTTTAATTCCATTTAAAAGCAATAAATTTAAAAAGATTAATGATTAAAAAATACAGATTCATATAGATGTATTCTAGGTAAAAAAAAAAAAAAAAATTATGTTCATTTTATTTATATAAATAATTTATACTTATTTTAATTTATGTATGAATTATTTTTTTTTTACAATTAAAATGTTTTTTGGTAAAGCATATTTAATAGTAACTAATTACTGCATGTGAAAAATAGATGCAAGCAGTTTAATAATTTTATGTTTTTAACAATTATACTCTCAATAAAGTTAAACAAGATATAATGAAAGTGAATAAATATATGTAGAGAATATAATGAATAAAATAAAGTAGAATAAGTAAGAATAGAATAGAGTTATTAATAAATAAAATAGAGTATATAATGAATAAAAATATAGTACATAATGAATAAAATAGAGTTAAGATATAGTGATAGATATAATAAATAAATTTAAGTTGATATAAATGACATTCATTATTTAAATTTTCTGGCAATTCTAGTAAAAAAATATTATATCACAAAAAGGTGAGGTTCTAGAACAGATCCTTGTGGTACACCACTAAGTACATCAACCTAGTTTGTCACAACTTCACCTATAACCACTAATTTCTTGCACCAATTGATTTTTTTAATATTTTTGTGTAAAAAAATAAATAAATTTGAAGGTCTCATTGGTATATTTTAAAAGTATTTTAGGATTTGATTTGAATTTGTTAGTTATACTTCTTTTTAATTGTTTTCTATTTTTCTTGATATCATTTTTCATTTCAGTTTTATTTCAATATATACAGACTGGAAATGACTTGAGGATTTCTTATCTTTGTTGAAATCAGTCGGTTGTGATTAGTTCATCCTCATTTTGTAAAAGAATGCAGCACATCAATATCATATCTGTTATATTTAATGTTCAAAAAATTAATTGAAACAGAAACTCTACTAGACATGTGGAAAAAGCAAATATAATGCCACTGTTTAAAAAAATAAGAAAGTTAAATACATCAAAATACAGACTGGTCTTGTTAACTTTGATAACATGTATCAAAATTAACAAGACCAAAAGTCATTTTGGTCTTTCTTCAAAACAATTTATTATTTCCTTTTTAATTTAATTTAATTGATTACTTATGTTTGTTAGAAAACTTAGATTTTGCCGAAGCTTTGGCCAAAGTCACTCTGCCAAAGCCAAAGCTGGCCGGAGGCGAAGTTTTTGCATTTTTATAGGTAAAATTTGCTATCTTGCAGAAAAAGCTATCTAGGATAATACTGAAATAATTGCTGAAAAATATTTTTTAACATTTTACTACAATTATCATATGTACTGCATATTGTAAAATGTATGTACTGCAATTATAAATATTTTAGTGCACAAGGTATTTTACTATAACAAATCATCAAGGTTTTTTTTCAAATTACTTATAGTCATAGGATATTAAAATAGCAATGCCTTGTTTGAACAAATATAATGTTACATGAAAAAAAGATGACTAGCTAACTATTAATTACTAATTACAAATTAGTAGTTGAATTAGGGTGTGAATTATAAAACTAATTTGGCTTATATAAATTATAATTTAGCCTATATGATTTATAAAACTAATTTGGCTTTTTGTCAACTTAATCAACTCTAAACTTTAAAATTATATTATAAACAATGTTTAGTATACATTAATTTTCACTTTGGATTATAATAAAATTACCATTTAGTAATTACTAATAATAAACAAGGGAAGTTGTTTAATTATACTTATTAGTTTATTACCTTTAAATTAATTATCTATTGTTAGAAATCAGACAAACTATAAATTAAAAACGTAATCTGTTCTCCATGCTCAGGCAACATGGTTTTCATTTGGCTTAAAATATGTTTCCCGTTGTGCTAAACAGAGTTCACTCTTAAAGGATGAAGGAGTTACGCATAAAATTTTTATTGAGAACCTTACCAAATCCAACTTGTTTGTGTCTTTATCGGAGCAGGTGTACTTGTAAACACCCCGCCATTTATAAGGGCATTCATTTTTTAGTAATGTTGATAGGCTAAAGTTGAAGTTGACTTTGTCAATGTTGAATCAAAAATATGAATCAATTTAAAGTTTAAACTAACATTTTAAATCAAGTAAGGAAAAAAGAATACTCTTATTCAACTTATAAATAAACATTTTATAGTTGATAAATAATTATGTTTTGCATAGAAAATTAAAAATATTAAATGCAACCAGACCCGTAACTACAGAAAGAAACGGCCTGCCTGTATATAGTTTGTGCCTGCTAGTAGGGCCGCCCCAAAGAGATTTTTAAGGAGGAGTGCGAGCGGGGGAAGGGGAGAAGTGCTATATTTTTTTTTTGCCCACTTACTTATCTATAATTCTGGTGTGCAAATAAACCTGTAAATAAATTTCTATTAACAGGGCTGAATGCAACATAATAATTAATTGGAAAATTGTCATCAATTTTTAATTAAATTTGTAATAAATTAAAAAAATTGCAATTTTATTTTGATATTTTTTATTTGTACAATTTTCCTTTGAAGTTTTGAGTTTTTCCTATAAGATTTTAACTATGAGACTTTTTTCCCCCTCTATAAGTATTTTCACATTTCTGTTAAGCATTTTCATTTATACCCATTTGGTTTAAGAAGCTGTACACGCCTATGCTTTCTTTTTTGATTGGACCATCACGATTGGAGCCTTTAATGAAATTAACTTCTTTTGCTTGTTGTAAATGATCATTTACAACAAGCAAGCAAATTTTATATCAAAGGTACTACCGCTTTCATTTAGAGGATCGATACTCCAAATGAAAGTGGTAGTACCCTTGATATAAAATTTCCTTAAACGTGTTATGATCTGTTTCTTTAAAAAAATTTATTTGATGTTTGAGGTTTGAGAATCATTGCAATTTCCAGACATACATTATCTGTGTATTTATGAAAATGACTTTTAAAATCAGTTTTACGTTCAACAACAACAGTTTTGATTCCAGTTGATTTGTCCCTAGCATAGTCAAGAAACGGTATAATCTCTATTGTGTCTGCTCTTACCTTTCATAGCGCTTTCAAAGTGTTTTAGTATGCATACAAGTATTGCAGCAGATTGATTTTCTGCAGGTTATCTGCTTCTGTAATTATAAAATCATTAATTATTCATGTTTTTGAGTGATTTTTCTAGAGTACGTTTCAGACGCAAAAAACTAAATACAAGTTACATTGACAATAGGTTTTAGTAAATATAACAAGGAAATAAAATTAAACATAAAACTTAAATAAAATATAAAAAAGTACCCATTGATTTTTATAAGCAGACAAACAAAAAAAAATAACAATATAGTTTGCAGCACCTCGCAATTTATACTACACATGCCGCGGCATACGTCAAGGAATCAAAGTAAAGGAACAAATTACAAGTAGTAGAATTATAGTAATTATATTGTAAGCAATAAAATTGTTTCATGTTTAATATAACAGTAGCTTATTACCATTAATTACCTAAAAAAACTTGCTGAAGCCGATGCTTTGGCAAAAGCTGACCCTGGCTTCAGCCGGCTTGCCGAAGCTGAAGCTTCGGTACACTCCTAGTAATAATAATTTTTTAAAAGTTTACATTCATTATTTTATTTTTTATTTATTATGCTAAACTATATTCATATTTATAAATTATATAATTTATACTATATTTATACTAAATGTTTATAATTTTCATAATTCTCCAAAAAAAAATTTTTACTTAAAAGTTGGGGAAAAAATTAATTCAAAAAATTTACAAAAAAACTTTTTTGTAATTAAAAAACTTAACATATTGTCAACTGCTTAAGAAAGTTTTTTTTTTTAATAAAATTGAAATACAGGCACATTTGAGCAAGCTTCCAAATGTTAAAGCTTGTATGTACAAAAAAAAAATATTAAGAAGTATAGATTGTTTATAAAAATTCTTAAATACCTGAGTTTTAGGAACCAACTCTATTGGGTTGTGTGAGACTAATACCAAAGCATCACCTAGTGATTTGAATGAACTCATATCTTCGACAGGTGCATTGCTGAGTAATGTGATCATTTCTGTGCGTGACTTTGAACAATAAAAAAACGTGTAAGCTTGAACATATGAAATAAGAAAAACATTGTTAGAATAAAAAAAATAATAATAATAATTAAATGAATAAATGAATTTTTGAAAGATAAAGAAAAAAATTAATTTGTTAAAAATTAAATTTGTTAAAAATAAAAAAAAATTAATTGTCATCAAAAAAGTTAGATCAATAAGAGGATTGTTAAAAACAAAACAAGAACAAAAAACAAAACAAGAACAAAAAAACACACACAAAAAAAATATATATAAAAAGATAATGAGATATTGATAAAACATAAACAAATTTCTTAAAGAAAAAACAATATAAAAAAATAATAAGATATACATAAAAAGAAAACAAACTGCTTGTAGTAGTTATTTATTTTATTAATTAATGAGTTGTATAAAAAAAGAACTTTTTTCTTAAGTTGTTAGAAAATTTGTATGTTCTCTATTCCTTAGTATTTTTAGCACATTAAGTATATTTAGTATATTTAAAATAATATTGAAATCATAGAATTAGGTTTTTATTTTTCTATTTAGAATAATATATTCAATAACTATATTTAACAACTTGTTTTCTTTTTTATTAAATTCATTAATACCTTTTGCAAATAAGAAAGTTCTTGTTGCTTTTGTAGATTAATAGCATCAATATCAACCATGTTAGTAAACATGTTTAATGGTGTTAGTGTGTTGCTAGAATAAGTTGATGAGTTTAGGTTGGTAGCAGAGCTAACTGCTTGGACAACATTAGCAATACTTTGTGTATCATTGGAGTGCATCCTAGCCAACAATGCTGTTAAATTAATAGGTTTATTACTGGGTTGCACCTGCAAATAAGTTTAAAAACTTCAAAATAATTATTCTAAACTTAAAATATTAAGAAATAAATTGTGACGCTCAGAAACAAAATACATTTTAATGCTCAGTTTATGAAACAAATTTAGATTGTTTTAAAATTTTCATTATCTAACCAATAGCTTTTTAGTGTAACTTTAGACAAACCTTGTCTATAGTCAATCAAAACTATTTTCAATCAAATAAAATTAGTTTTTAGTACATAACTATTTACAATTATTTTTAGTACATAAAAATATTGTTATTATTTATGATCATTATAAATTATAAGCACATAATAAAATAATTATTTGATCATTTCAAAAAACATTGCTTATGACCTATTTAAAAAATTGTTAAACAAATAAAAATAAAAAAATGGAGTACTGTTGTAGTGAAAGAGTACTCAATTTGTAAGCAAGTATGATCTTCACAACAAATCTGTTAGCATTGCACACATTGAATTAAAGAATGTTGAGAAAAAAACCTTCATGCAACAACTTTATATTAACTATTTAATTGTAATTTGTTTTACTACTTTAAAAAATCAAATGAAATAGCTAAATTTAAATTTTTAACTAATAACCAATAATTAGAATTACTTTTCTTAAATGTTTGTTTTAGAAATCTTAAAAACAAATTTTTTATAAACTTGAATCATTTAAAGCATTAAAAAAGATTTTATTGCAGAGTGTCATGCTTATAAAATATGAATAGATAAAAATACTATAAAAAATTTAGGAACATTTACTTTAATGATTAGTTGGTTGTATTCTTTGTATGCATTGTATTTATTGTATACTTTAATAATAATTTTGATTTTGTAATCATTATTCTCATCACCAGGACCCATCACAAAGTCAATTAAACTCGGTTGATCTGTAGTTGCAGCATTAAGCATAGGATAATCAACAGTTGTTGTACTACTAAGCTTCATTTGATGTAAATGATTAGTATCATAAAAAAATTTGTAGCTAAGAAAACCATCTAAATCAATCCAATTGTAGCAGACAAGTTTAAAATAGGTTTCTAGGGCATAGCCATCAGTTGGACTGTTTATAAAAATATTTATTTATCAAACGGAATTAAGAAAAAATTAAAGATTGCTGTATCATCAGTCCGTCTGTTAAGAAAAACTGTATAAATATTTATAACATAGCATTAAATATTATTTAAGATATTGAAACTATTTTGAATATTGTGTAATAATTATTAATGAAGTAATTATTAGGCTCCATGTACCTGTCTTAGTGGTATCAATATCAAAACTTTAACTTTAATTTAAAATTTATTACTTCTACTTATTTTAAAATTATATAAACTTTCTTAACAAAAATATATATATTTCTGTTAAGAAATAAATGCATTTCTGTATTTCTGAAGGAATAAGAGCAAAGGAGGCATTTAAAATATTTCAGTCTTGTAACACTAAGACATTATTTACAACAATAGTAATTACAACACAAAAGTAACTTAAGATTAACTTTAATAATAAGTAACAAATAAATAAAGCAACAAGAACAACTTCAACATTAACAAAACCAAGTCAATGGTAATAAGCTCCTTGAAGTTTTAAACAAACCTTTAACTAGTCAAAATACTGAATATGGTACCAGAGTGAAAATTCATAATACAAGATTTGCCTTTACTAAATATGCAAACTATAGTGATATGTAAAATGCATCTAGTTTCATTGGGTAGAATGAATTTTTTCAGTCAAACAAAGTTTATTAAAAAAACTAATGAAAAACTTTTATTCAATTTGCATATATTTAAAAAACAGAAAATTCTTAGCAACTTAAAAATAATTAAACTACATCTTTAAATGACTTTAAATCTTGGAACTCTATTCAGAATACTAATCCCAAACCCTCTGAGAACACTAATCCCAAACCCTCTGAGAACACTAATCAAACCCTCTGAGAACACTAATCAAACCCTCTGAGAACACTAATCAAAGCCTCTGAGAACACTAATCAAACCCTCTGAGAACACTAATCAAAGCCTCTGAGAACACTAATCAAACCCTCTGAGAACTCAAAAAGTACAAAGCATGGTTTTTATATTGAACACTGGATTTATTTCTTCTTGGAAATTAGCATGTGATTAAACCTCTATTATAAAAAGAAGAGTGAAAAGAAATAAAGAAATGGGAGTGAAAATTTTGACTATGGCCACTAAAAGTACATATAAAACAAAGAATAATAATATTTTTCTAAAATGCCACCCTGTCTTGAAAACATTTATAAAATGCAAGATTAAAAAACAATTATTATATCAAGTAGTATAATAATTATAACAAACAATTATTATGTCAATACTACTAAGTAACTACTATTATATATCCTTCTTCTTTATCCTGCTACTACTAGTTATTCTTACCATCCTTCCTTATCCTGCTCCCTCCTAAAGACATTAATTATTTAAAAACTAAATGTGTTATTTTTTAATAACATTATTTTTTTAAAAAAGATGGGCATCTAAATTAGACAAACAACATAAAAATTACAAAGTACCTCTAGTCTTAGTGTAATAAACACAAATTTATTAAATAAAAAGTTGAACAAAAATTAATTATCAAATATTAAAAATACAAAAATACAAAATATTAAAAATACAAAAATTAATTACCAAATATTAAAAATACAAAACGTTGCATATATAAAACACAATTAAATACAATACAAAAGTAGACAAAACAAAATGATTGAAAAAATTTTTTTATACAAATGAATGACCAAATATTTAAATACAAAACTTTGCATATATAAAACATAATTAGAAACAAGAATATAACACAAAATTTCTGTATATAGGGTAGACATAATTTTTTACTTTAATTTTTGTCTTATAAACATACATATTGTCTGAGTAAACCTAAACCCTCTGTAAATTTATGCAATGACAGTTTATATTTTAAGTACACATACAAAAATTTTGGTTGTAAGTACATGAAGCTGTTGAAATACAGAGGTACCAATATTTTTTTACATTTTTGCGTAAAAAAAAGAAGAAGCTGAGATCAGTTAATTTTAAACTGTTTTTAACATTTTGTATAATTTTATGAACTGATGATGCTGGTAACCACAATCCAGCAAAAATCTTTAATAATATATTCTTATTTGTGTTAAAAGAACTCTTATTCTTGATGTTTTCTTATAGGTACTTAGGTATGCCACCATATCTGGAAATATTTTTATTTGAATAGCATCAGTAAGTATATATAATTTTTGTTTTTAAAAAAGATTACTTATTCTAATAGTTATATCTTTTAGATTACAAATTTACTTCTTTTTTTGTTAATCCAATATTAAAATAAATAACTTTCCAGGGTTTCTGAAGCAATGAATAAATAACTCAACATAAATACGTAAAACCACAAAAAAGGTAATCTTTTCACACTAATACAAAAAATGTCTGTCCGTATTTTAATTTTATTTTTATAATGTTGAAATTAAATCAAAATAAACATCTAAAAAACAGTGCTTACTTTATGTAACAAACTCCTGAAGATGGTTGAGAACATGTGATCTTTGTAAAATTAAACAACAATCGTTTTAATGAATCAGAGAATCCAACTTCTAATGTAAAAGTGTATTTTTTGTTTTCAAGAAGTATGTCTTTGTTAATTACAAGACTGGGGATCAGAAAACCAGTCGTAGTAGCATTTGGGGACAAAATTTCAGAAGGAACATCTCCTGCATCATCTGTTATCATCCACTTTGCTGTTAGTCTTAAAGATGCAAAAGAAACAATTATAAAATTTTACTGTGATCAATTGATTGCCTATAAATGATTCACTAAAATAATTTAAATTGAATTACCTTTGAGAACCACAATCTTCACAAAAGTATGAATAAATTACTCGATCTTTAAAATTCAGTTTCGAATCACAGTTTGAAATGCATCTATTAAACAAATTTTTTATCAATTTATATTAATATATAACTATACTTCTTAATTGAACTCCTCGACTTCTTAAAACTTATATTTTAATTGACATTAAAAAAATGGAAATAACCATATCATTTTAACTTTTAATAAATCATAAAACAATGAAATATTGTCTTTAAAATTTTAAGTTTTTTTTTTAAAGCATTTAATACAAACTTTCTTAGATTCAAGAAAGTGTTGAAAGAAATTTTAATCTTCATTTTTTTTTTAAATCTATTTTATCTATTTTTATTATGTTATTTTGTACTCGTCTTCATTTGGTCTTCTTTGAGTCATTTGGGTCGGCATTGCAAAATGCTGACCTTAAATCCGAGGGCTGAATCATATCTACAACAAGAAAAGTATTTTTATTTAACAACTGATAAGTTTTTTTTTTTTTTTAAACTGATGTGTTTGCTTGTGTAAAAAAAATTCTTTAAATAATAATAAATTGTTTAACAAGGTTTATGTTTGAGAAAATTAAATTACACACACAAAAAAGAGTAGAAAATTTTAATTTTTTTAAAGTTTATATTGTTTATTTTGTTTTTTCTAGCTTTTATATTATGTATTTAGATTCTTGGTGTTTGTTTGTATTTTGTTATTATTAAGTATGTTTGCTGAGTAAGTAAGTAACTCTTTTATAACAATTTTTTTAATCAACAGAGTGTCTCCTCACCAATTTTTGTAATTTGTTAACTTATGTCTATATTGAAATAAATAAATTTACCATTATCAACTGAATAGAGCTAGGTCAGGCTATGCAGTCTGTTACACAAACTAAACCAGCCTACAACTTGACATGCAGGATAACAGGGTTTTAATAGCAGCACAACACTTTTATTCAATTACTCATCACAAATTTATCATCAAAATAATTTATAATTACATTCTGGAATAAATGTTTTGTATTATGTTTTTAGTTAATTAAAAACATAAAGAAAGAATTTTTAGTCAGATCATTTTTGTTTTTAGTTGAAAAGAAAAATGAAAAGTTTAATTATTATCTGTAAATATATTGACTGACATTGATTTAACATTGAACTTAACATTGTAAATGGTTGTCACTAAAACCACAATAAAATATTATAACTTTATTACATTAATAATATACCTATGTTAACTTTTTTTTTTTTTTTGCTTTCATTTATATTTATTCAATAACTTTATGCTATATACAAATGTGGACATGCAGTGACTATTACTATTGTGTTAATATTGAAAAATAATATTGATATATTATTTTTATTATTTTTAGTCAAGATTAGTTAACTTTTTTTTAAGATAGTTGTTTAACTTTTCCTCAATTTATTTAACTCTTGACAAACAAGGCTATTTTAGAGAGAAAAGAGTAAAGTGTTGAACTTCCAGGAAAGTGTTGGATTTTAATTCTTTACCAATAACTTATGAAGAAATACTACTACTCAACTATTACATCTTAATTGATTACATTATATAATAATTTAAGAAAAAAGTGATTTGCCAATAGCATAGTGAAATCAATTTTAAAACAAACTAAATAACAAATTAAAGTAATAAAACTAACCTAACAGAAATAGTTGGTAGGCCACCAGCAATTATCTGAAGTTCTTGAGTGAAGCAACCTGTTTTGTTTTTGTATGATGACTTGAAATCTTTTCCGACAATTTTTATTCCACAAACTTTAACATGATACCTTATACCCTCAAGAAACTGTTGTGTACTAAAAGATACTTCTGAATTAATAGACGGAATGCTTATCCAATTTTGATCAAAGCATGTGTCACTTAAATAAGTAAAGTTCAAAGATTTAAAGTTTGCCATTATTTCTTGAGCATATGAAAAATTTGAAGCAATTTTACATTTCCAATTAAAAGAGATTTTTTGAGTTCCAATCGTTGGATCATCTGGATCATAACTAGACTTTGCACTTATTGTAAAATTTTGGTACAAGGTGTCATTTCCAATTTTCTTTTTATGAGCAATAGAAGAAAAAAATCCATTATCAATTTCCATATACAAAGGAGAAAATACAATATTAATGTAAGCAGCATAAAAATTTGTGATATGCCCATAATTATATTGCAATGTTAATATGTAAAAGCCAATATCAAGTGAATTTTTTTTAATTGAGTAAGTAACTTTTTGCTGGGATAAAAAGCCATTAACAGAAGTATTTGAAGTGGAACTTGCAAGATTCCATTTAAAATTGTAACTTTCAGGTTTACAAAAACTATTAATATTTTCAACAAATGCTGTTACACCACCTCCAATACTTCGAAAAATATTTATTGGACTTGTAATAGTTCCATAAAAAAAACTAACCTCTGGCACTGAGCAATTTTTAACTACTATTTGAACCAAAAAACTTGAATTCTGCAACAAGTTGTAACATGTTACATTAACAGTGTAGTTGTTTTCGTTATTATACTTATGTTGTATTTGAAATGGAACTGGATTTTGATTCATGGTTTGATTTTCGATTTCATAAGTACCATCTCCCCAATCAATTAAGTACATCATGTATGAACCTTTATTTTGATTGATGTTTAAAATTATATTTTTGCTGAGAGATAAGTAAATTTTCTTATTTAGCGAAATAACCGGATTTGTTATGACATTCAATGGAGACAATAAACAAAAAACAGTTACATCTGTAGAATTATAAACTAACGCAGTGTCCAAACTACCTTTTGAGTTTGCAAAAAATATTGATGCACTGGCATTGATTGTAAACACATTACATGTGAAATACCTGCATTAACAAAATAACGCAAAATTAATGTACAAAAATAAAAAGTTTAAATTCAAAACTAAAGTCCAATATATATATATATATATATATATATATATATATATATATATATATATATATATATATATATATATATATATATATATATATATATATATATATATATACACATATAATTAAAATTCAAAAAAATATGGCAATTTTTGGATTGTTAGACAGTTGTAACCATTGTTTAAAAGCTTTAAAGTGGCATCTACAGGGTGACGCAAAACTATGGTTATGGTTTGAATGTTTAATAACTTTTTAAACATTCAAACCATAATGAACTGAATACTGAAGATGCTGGACAATTTTTTTAAGCCAGCTGTAGAAATCTACAGCTGTGGTTCCAACAAGAGCCACCACCAACACTGCAAGAGCCACAATGGCTCCGTTTCATGACCTCTTTGGCAAAAGCATTATTTTGCTTAGAAGTGATTTCAACTTCCCTTCGCATTCACCAGATTTAACAGTGCCAGATTGTTTTCTTCTGGGTTATTTTAAAGAAAGAGTACATCTAAACAAGCCAGCGACCATACCAAAGCTAAAACATTCGCAATAAAATTCAAGTCATAACACTGAAAATTTTACAAAAAGTTATACAAAATGTACTGGAAAGAGTACAAATGTGCAAAGACAAAAATGGCCGTCACTTCCGGAATATAATTTTTCACACCTGAGCCAAAAATATTTCGCATTAACATACTGTATAACAAAAAATAATAATAATTAACCATTAAGTGAAAAATTATTGCACATTTAAACCATATTGGTAGTTTTGCCAATATGGTTGTCCCTGTATATACATTTGGTATTTTAAAAGGTGTTTAATAAACAAAATTATAAATGTACAAAGATATTATCAAATATAACAGTTATAAATAAAGTTTTAGATATTCTTTTTTTTAAAGCTTTTATTTTTATTTTTTTAATAAAAGTTTTAAAAGATAAAGTTTTAAAAGATAAAGTTATAACTATTAAACAAATTATTGAAAAAAAAAAAATTATTAATAAAAAACAAATATTTATATTAAATATTAAAAGTTATATTAAATATTTAATTATAGTTATATTTATATTAAATATTAAAAGTTAAAGAAACAAAAATAATAAAGTAAAAATAAACAAGTTGACTTTTTATGATTAATCAAATACATACATATGAATTACAGTATAAGTAAAACCATTCACACCAGTAGCATCAATCTTTGTAATATTTATTACAGGTGTTCCATCACCAAAATCAACAATCAATTGCACGTTGGAGCCATTGAATAATTGAATAGTTGTTTTAAAAGCACTAGTTTGCTGTTGATTTTTTTCAACAAATAAATACAACTTACTTATTTCAGACAAAACAGCAACATCAACTGAAGTATTGATGAAATTAAACTTGTTGGCAGCTGTCAAGTATATAGTGTAAACACCTAAACAGTTTAACCAATGTTAAATATTTTAAAACTAAATGTTAAATGTTTTAGTTTTGTGTTGTTAGTATAAAAATTTATTTATAAAACTTACCCACATCAGTGAACATAAATAAAATTTTATTATCATTGAATACACTCTTTGAATAATTAAGCAAGGGAATACTAAACGTGTATATCACATCTGACCCATAATCTATTTCAGCTGCTAATGTTATCCATTCATTAACTCTATATCCAGCCACCAATTTTGAGAACGGCTTTTTTGGTGCAAATCGTAAACCAGACACAGGAACCTATATAAAAATAACTAAAAAAATTTAGTCAAAATTTTTAAATATATATGTACACTACTCGTCAAAAGCTTTGTAAAATTAATTAAAAATACTTTAATAAAAAAAAGTACTATGTTTAAGATATTTAAACCCAATATAACACAATTCACTATTAAAATGATGTAATAACAAATAAAAATGTTAATTAATTAAATTCAAACTAACACAATGCATACAAACATCTTTGCATAAATAGCTTTAAATATAACTTTAATAAGGTCATACTGAAATAGAGAGAATTAGAATGTTTCAAGACATACATCAACTGAGGGTTTAGGTTTAGGCAGGTATAATCTAGTTATAAACAACTTTTATTTAGCAAAATAACATTTTCATTATTCTTCAATTTTTTAAAACTTATTTCTTCTGATGATTTATTTAGTCTTTGTGGTGCAGCCAAGTATACATACATTAACTTAACTTAATTTATTAATAAAATTTATTTATAAATAAAATTTATAAATAAAAAACCACAAAAAACATTAAACAAAAACAATAAGATTTTTCCATATAAAAAACTTCAATTTAAATAACCTGAAAATTGAATGAGTAGTTCAACTGTTGAAAAGATGGAATATGATTAGAAGCTTCAACTGTGAAATTTAAAATGCCAGTTATATTTGATAGTATTGGAATTAAACACTCAAATGGCTTTGATATAAAAAGTGATATAAAGAAATCATTGTTAGTTATATTATTAGAGTAAAATGTAATTGTTTTTCCAACATCCACTTGTCCAACTTTTTCATGATTTGTTCCATTACAAAATAAACTAGAGGTTCCACCAATCCATACCATGTCATTTTCTTGGATATTATTCTTGTTTTGAATAGGTATTTCAATAATTCCAGTATCATTTATCATGAACAAATATCCTTTAAAAAAAAAAATTACAATTTTAATAACAAATTTAAAAGTTTGAATAAACTTTTTAAATATTTAGCATCTTATTTATAATAAAGGTTGGGTTAAGTAAAAGAAACACTTTTTATATCTTGAATTTCAGTAGATTAGAAAAAAAAGTTTTTTTTTTTTTTTTTTAATTGAATACTAAAGTCTAGAATAAAAATTAAATAAAAAAAATAAAATTTCTTAAGTATGATAAAATTTTTGTGTTAATGGAAAAAAAATTTCATACTAAAGAAACAAAAAAAAAGTATATTATCTTGATGAGAGCCATGAGATTTTGCATTAGGTGAGATTTGCAGGGGTGGGTTCTAGGCACAAAATCAATACTATTAAAAAAATTTTAATAGTATTGATTTCGTATTAAACACATTGTAAAAATTTTATGTGGATTTAGAGTAATAACAAGACACAAGGTCAGGTCTAAAGATTGCATTACCATTGTGGGCTGTCACAGTGTCGATAAGCGCTTTTTAAGGTACTCTATTCAATTTTTACTACTTATTATAGAATTAGTGAAACTTTTTGTTTTTGATCCACATTAACATAAGTAAATGTAATAAATCTAAAATATTAATAAATTTCTAAAAATGCACTTGTTTTAATCTCTTGAACAGGTAGTTTTACTTTAATTTGCACTTTTTTGTATTTTTAATGTTAGCTTTTTGGTGTTTTTCTGTATTTACAATCTGTCTCTGCCTACCTATTCACCTTTTTAGCTTTTACTTTTTTAATGTATACTAATTTGAATAACCCATATGTATAATTTGTATATGTGTTAGAAAAAATTAATTTTACAACTCTTACAATGAATTAGCCATTGATTAAATTAAAATTAAATTTGAATTCAAGTTACATGAATATGCTAAAAGTGATTGTGTACTTTGTTCGTGGTAGATAATTGATAAAATGACTGCTGTTGTGTATATACAATTGATAAAATGGCTACTGTTGTGTATATACAATTGGCAAAATGGCTGCTGTTGTGTATATACAATAATCTAGCACTAGCTTTTGTTCAAGAATAAGCAATTGATTAAATAATGGCTACCCCATGCTATTTGGTATTCCTGATATATGATATGAAGTGAGCCACAAAACCATTTAAATGATTGTTATTTTTGCTGCATTTTACTTTTTTTTTACTGCCATTAGAACTGGAAATATATCTAACCAAATGTTAAACTGGCTTCTTGTCCAAGTACCGAAGAAACCTGATTACTTATTTAAAATAATGCAAACTGTTGCTAAAGACAAAGATGAAATTGTACATAAAGATAATGACAGACCAAAATTGTTTTCACAACTAGTATCAAGTTACAGATCCATGATCTGAAGCTGACTAAAGATCATAGTGAATGAGTTTTTCTTTTCCATTTGAACAACATTTAGCATCAAGATCAAGTCTTTTTATTTATGCTTCAAAAAGGAATGTCAAAATTGTTACTATGCTCTTAAGACTTACAAGCAAAACAAATTTTTTTACAAAAAAATTTGTTTTGCTTGTAAGAGAGGTTTTGATACAAAAAAAAATTAGCCTAAGCAAGATTATTTTACTGTTGGACTAAAAATCCTTTACTTGTTTAACTCATTAAGATTATATTCCCCCCCCCCTCCTTCTTTTCTTTACATATAAAATTAAGCCTTATTTAACAATTTGTGAAAACACTGTACAAAGATTGTGATGTAATAAACATTTAAAAGGTAAAATTATCCAAATTGAACTTTGCAAAAGTAAGAGTAGGTGTTTTTAGATCAGTTGTTATAAAGGAAAACCATCATTTTTATTACTTGCTGACTGCTGGTGGACTTTAGTGTGTAATTTAATATCCTCTTAAAGAAGATTCAGTGTGATAAAGCATATTTGTGATTGTACAGGTAAAATTATTATACAAACAAGAAAGAAATGTGTCATAAAAAAAAAAATGGCTTTTAATTAAAATTTTCATTTTAAATGATAAAGCAAATGCCCAATTCGAATTCGGCACTTAACTAATACAAATTAACAAAGCACAAATAAAATTGTTTTCATACAAAAAATTTAATTCAAATTTTGTTTGTTAGTGTAGTAATTAAAATGTAAGCAAAATATTTACCCTGTTCTCTTCTACCTAATTTTTAAAGGAACATATAAGAACAGTAGTTTAGACTAAAATCCTCCACTTAAAGTTATATTTTCAGAATAAAAAAAATGTTTTTTCTTATCTTTTTTTTTTGGAATTCTCAAAATTTACATATAAATTTATTAATTCATTAAATATTAATATTAAATAAGTTAATTTCAAAAATCAAACAAAAATGAATTTTGAACTTTAATAAATTCATTATTAATCTAAAATCCAAATTAAATGAGCTCAGTATTTAACAAATTTATGTTTTTGAGATTAATTTCACTACCATTTTAACACAGCCTATTAAAAAAAATCCTGGTCATTTTTTCTCATAATAGAATAGTCATACCATTATCAATCAAATTAACCATTAACAATCAAACTACCCTATTTTAGTATGATATTAGAACATTAATAAGCATATTTCAGTTTTTGTTAGATGATTAATTGTATTAGCACTATTTTATTGATGCAGAGATCTTCCATGTAGTTAATTTTGCCAAATTAATAGATATTTTTAATTTTCACTTGATATTTTTTTTGTTGTTGTTGTTGTTACTTTATTTTAGGTGCTTTGTTTAAATAATTTTTCTCTGGTATTTCAAATTTTTAGCATAATTTAATTTAATTTTACTTATTTACTGGCTTAGAATGAAAATGCTTTTGTTGTAGTGGTTTCTTGGAGCATTTTCCTTTATTGTTTTTTATTTTTATTTATCTCTGTTTTTTCTTCTTACACTTCTTTTGCTTTTTATTAATGATCAAAATTATTTTTACTAAATGTTTACATAAATTTAGACAGATTTCTTTACATCAAATGTCATTAAATTTTTTGAGATAATTTCAGGTGATGATATAATTTGGTTACATTCTGATCGGTAAGTATAACCTAAAATTGGTATCTATGGCAGTGCCAGGGTTTATCAAAGACTTTGAAAAACTTTTTTTTGTAATTTGACAACTTTCTGATTAGGCACATTTTTTTTTCTTTATTGTCTTTGATATATTAATGCTAAATGTTTACCTTTGTGTTTCAACTTTTTGACATTTTTTGTTAACTTATTTGCATTAGTGGTTTAGTTTAGTCTATGCATGTTTCAAGTTGTTTGAGTTATTGTTTATTGTTTTTTACCAATTTTCTACTAGTAATATAATTACCTTTTTATTTTATAAGTTTTTTACCAATAATATATAGGTCTTTTGTAGTTTACATCTCCCCCAAGATTAATTTTTTTATTGAGACACTATCTCAAGCTTTTACTCAACCAAGAGCCTAAACACAGGTGAGTATTCAAGCTAGTACCAACTTATCGTAGCCTTCACATAGTAAAGCAAATTGTATAAGCAGGAAATAATTTTGAAATAATTTTGAAATCAAAAAATTTTTTTATATATATATATACTTCTAAATATATATATATATATATATATATATATATATATATATATATATATATATATATATATATATATATATATATATATATATATATATATATATATATATATATATATATATATATATATATATATATATATATATATATATATATATATATATGTATGTATGTATGTATATATAAATATATACATATTTAAAATTAAAAAATATATATATATATTTTTTAAATTGGTATTCATTAAATGCCAAATTAAAAAAGTATATATGAAAAGGAATATTGCTTTATTGTAACTTACTTGTTACCACTAATGCTGTGATTATAGATATATTCAGTAGATCAACTTTATCTTCTAATAAATTTATTGTGAAACAATCCTCAGCACATTTCATTGTGAAGGAACAAAAAACAGTAGAATTGCTGCATATTGGTCGCAAAATCTATAAATAAAAAACTTATAAATAAAATTTGTTGCACCAAAATGTTTCTTGGTTTCTTAAAAATTTCTCTAGAACTTTATTTCAAAATTTCTTTAAATTAAGTTCATTGTAATAAAAGCCTAATAAAACTAGCCAAGTAATTTTTAAACTTAAAAAAGGAAACTCAATTTTTTAAGTTTTTTTAACGGAAAAAAAACTATTTTTACTAAAGTTTTTTTTTTCTTTTATTTTGTCTATTATTTTCATAAAATATAACTGGCAATCTCCAATTTACTCTCATTTTGTTCTAATCTATATAAATACTTTGTAATCAATCAGTGGTATAAATTAGTGATTTTATTAAAGAATAAATCAAGTTTGAAACAAAATCACTCATGAAACTGAAAAATGAAAGCTTGATCTTATAATTTTTTGGAAAATATAACTTTTACCTAATACTATTTCAAACCATTTTTTTTTTAATAATATTTTATATATTAGTAAAAGTTATTAAAAAGTTAGAGGGTTGCACTATGTTTCATATGTCACAGAAATTGATTAAATGAAGTTCATTTATGGTTACACACTATGAGTGAACATTTTAATATATTTTCTATAAGAAATAACAGTTATCAAATATTTATAGCTAGAGTATAGTGTTTAGAAAGTCATTATGTATTTTTCGAACTTATTTTGACATTAACACAAAAAATGTAAAATAATATATAAATATTTAATCATTCATATAGCCTAAAATATATACTTTTTTTTTTATTTAATTTTTTTTAACTCAGATAAAACTCAATTATTTTCAGCTAATCATTATTGAAAAAAATCTAGATCTTCCTATACTTATGAACAGTAATGTACTCGATGAGCCATGTACACTTCCTCTTTTAGGATTAATTCTTACTTCTTATCTTTCTTGAAAACAATATATCAAATTGATTACAAAATTAGCATCTGCTAAGGTTGCATCTCTTTATCGTGCTCACCACTTTCTTACTCAGGATTATATTCTTTATCTCTATTTATCTCAAGTCCATCCTTGTATGGAATACTGTTACCATACCTGGGGCGGATTTTCCTATGATGCCCTTTCTCTTTCAGAGAAGGTGCAAAAACGCATTGTAAACATAATTGGACTAGCTCTTACAGCCAACCTCCAATCATTATCACATTGTCATAATGCTGCTTCTCTTTTTCTTTTCTATAAATACTAAAACGAGCACTGCTTTAAAGAGCTACTGTCACTTGTATCATCTACTAAACTTTATTCTCATGTTACTCGCCATTTAATTAAGTCTCATCCTTTTACTGTAACTGTTCCAAAATGCTCCAAAAATTCAAATTTGTCTAGTTTTTTTCCTAGAACATCAGTTCTTTAAAATTTGCTTTCTTCAATTTGTTTTCCTGATTCATATAATTTTTAATCTTTTAAGTCATTGGTTAATTGTTATCTTGCTCTATAAACTTCATTTTTTTTCTTTGAATAACATCCAACTCTATTAGTGGTTGCTTCCAACCTTCTACATAATATTTAAATATAATATAAAATAAAATAATAGAATACAATAAACAGATAAAATATTTAAAAGTTATTAATAATGCTGCCTTGTAGGATATGCCTTCTTAGGCAAAGGCTAGGAGATGCAAACTCCAACATAAAACACTCCCTGCCTTGGGGCTCTTGGTAGAGTAAACGCTAGAGATGGTGTCTTGATAAAAATACTCATCTTGGGCATATGTTAAATGCATTCGGCTGCTGTCTTGTAGAAGGCCTCCAAGGCAAAGACTTAAGGGGTAAACAGATTCTATCTGTTGACCAGCCTCGCACCCCTTCTTCATCTATTAAACTGGCACAGATATATTTTTAATAGATTGTTTCCAGTTTAGGATGTTGAACGCTGGATCTTCTTGACTCGATGCATGGGTTTTGCTTGTGTTGCTGTTTTTATGACTAGGCAACTCATTTTATTATCTCCAAATGAGGGTACAGCTCTAAAACTCAGTTTTATGGTTCTGAAGCCGGCTGGTAGTCAGGTTTCCCGAACTCTGTGGTAGCTCTCAGAGAGGCTGATTCCATCAACAGCTGAAAAATATCAGAGTACTAACAGTGCCATGTTGCGCATGGATGGTGTCCCTATTTGTACTTTTGATGTGCATTGCCAAGGCCACATTGGAGCCCTTTGTTACGGCTTAGGGTTTATTAGTGGAAATGAGGCTATTGCTTGGGCTATAAAACAGAGTACTGAGTACTATCTATGTTTCGAGTCAAGTTCTTTAACAAATTTAAAAATGAATAAAGTAAAAAAAACTATAAAATAAAAAAAACCACAGTCATCACACAGTTCGCTAAACCTATCATTCACCAATATTCGTGGTCTTCGAAGTAACTTTTCTTCTGTTGAGTCTTATCTTTTGCAAAGTTCACCAGACCTACTTGCTCTTTGTGAGACTAATTTGAGTTCAGCTGTCTCATCTTGTGATCTTAATGTTGATGGTTATCTTCCTTTAATTCGTAAAGACTCCATTAGTCACATGCTTGGCCTGGGCATTTACATTCGCAAGAATTCACCCATTTGTTGGGAAACTAGGTTTGAATTTTGTTTCTGATCCTAGTCAGTGGTCAGTTTCTCCACATTCATACTTAGGTGCTTTTAATCATGGTTTGGTCTCTCTAAAAATATTATCTCATTCTTCTTTATCATTAGAATCCCCCTATCATCATACATCTTACAACTACCTTTAAGCTGACTGGGACTCTTTCAGTGATTTTCTTCTTGATGGCCGTTGGGTAGAAATCTTTCGTCTTCCTGTTGACAAATGTGCTTATTACATAACTTCGTGGATTCAATCTGGCATGGAATCCTTATATTCCCTCTCGACGATTCCAGGTCAAGCCTCACTCTTCTTCATGGTTTTCCTCACATTATGCAATCGAAACCATTACTTCCATATCTATCAGCAAAACAATTTTCCAGAAAACAGACGTCTGTTTATTACTGCTAGGAACCATTGTAAAAAGGTTTTGTCTAACGCCAAAGCCCACTATTCTCAGATCATGAAATCTCGTATTTCATCACAAAAATTAGGCTCTCGTGACTTCTGGAGAATCTTTAATAGTATCAATAATAAGGGCAAGTCTGTAATTCCACCTCTTTTGTACGGTTCAGACTTTGTCACCTCACCTAAAGACAAAGCTGAATTGTTTGCCAAAAACTTTTCACCAATATCATCTCTTGATTCCACTAGTTACGTTCTACCTGATAGAGCCGTCAAGCAGGTTGATCTACTGCTCGACATCCGTATCACTCCAACTTCTGTATCTAATGTGATTTCCTGCTTAGACTCTTCTACAGCTTGCGGCCGGACAACATACCTGTTATAGTCTTGCAGAAGTGTTCTCCGGAGCTGTCGTTTATCTTTTCAAAACTATTTAACAAGTGCTTATCAGAGTCTTGTTTTCCAGCCTGCTGGAAAGCAGCATCTGTTATCCTAATTTTTAAAAATTCTGGAGAGCGATCCGATTTGTCTAACTACTGTCCCATTAGTCTTTTTCCTATCATAAGCAAGGTTTTTGAATCTTTAATTAAAAAACACTTAATCTCTCATCTTGAATCTCATAACCTACTTTCTGATCATCAATATGGATTTCGATCTTCTTGTTCTACGGCTGATTTTTTAACAGTAACAACCGATAGGTTTTATTGCGCATTAGATTAAGGTGGAGAGGTTAAGGCCATCGCTCTTGACATTTCTAAAGCGTTTGATAAAGTTTGGCATGCTGGTATTCTCCATAAGCTTTTTTCTTACGGTGTATCTGGAAACATCTTTAAGACTATTGAACCCTTTCTTTCCAATCGTAATATAAAAGTTGTCCTCGATGGACAGCACTCTTCTTATTATTCTGTAACCTCAGGGGTTCCTCAAGGTTTAATCCTTGGCCCTATACTCTTTTTAATTCACATTAACGATCCTCCAGATTTTCTCACATCTAAGGTGGCATTGTTCGCTGATGATACTACCATTTATTCTTGTCACGATAAGAAGCTAACTCCCTCTGATTGCTTGCAGGGGGCATCTGAGCTTGAAAAGGATCTCACTTCTGCTACAGCATGGGGCTCACAGTGGCTGGTGAACTTTAATTCAGATAAAACTCAATTTTTTTCAGCCAATTGTTATTGCAATAATTTAGACCTTCCTATATTTATGAACGGTAATGTACTCAATGAGTCTCCTACCCTTCATCTTCTAGGATTAACTCTTACTTCTGATCTTTCTTGGAAACTTTATATCAAATCCGTTGCAAAATTAGCATCTGCTAATGTCGCCTCTCTTTATCGAGCTCGACACTTTCTTACTCTGGATTCTATTCTCTATCTCTATAAATCTCAAATCTGACCTTGTATGGAATACTGTTGCCTCATCTGGGGCGGATCTTCTAATGATGCCCTTTCTCTTTCAAACAAGGTGCAAAAACGCATTGTAAACATAGTTGGACCTGCTCTTGCAGGTCCAACTATGTCATATCATCATAATGTTGCTTCTCTTTCTCTTTTCTACAAATACGATAATGGGCACTGCTCTAAAGAGCTAGCGTCTCATGTGCCATCTACTAAAATTTATTCTCATGTTACTTGTCATTTAATTAAGTCTCATCCTTTTTCTGTTACTGTTCCTAAGTGCTCCAAAATCTCTTATTCGACTAGTTTTTTTCCTCGTCATTAACATCAGTTCTTTTGAATTTGCTTCCTTCATTTTGTTTTACTGATTCATATAGTTTGCAATCTTTTAAGTCGTCTGTCAATCGTTATCTTTCTCTACAATCTTCATCTTTTCTCTTCCAGTAACTTCCAACACTAATTAGTGGTTGCTTGCATTTTTTTTTTTTAACATCATTGCTTTCCTTGTTGGAAGCAATGATGTTAAAAAAAAAAATAGAAAAAAAAAATAAAAAAAAAAAAGAATCCAAATCTTATTTAAGATTTCAGCTATATGACATTGTTCTATATGACATTGTTCTATATGACATTGTTCTATTTGACATTGTTTTATATGACATTGCTTTATATGACATTATTCTATGTCATTATTCTATATGACATTGTTCTAAATGACATTTTTTTATATGAAATTGTTCTAAATGACATTGTTCTATATGACATTGTTTTAAATGACATTGTTACTACTAAAAAAAAAGATCTTGTCTTGTATTTTTGACTTTGATTGTACAAACTATAGAAAAAAAATTTTCTTGGTATGGAAAGTTTTCCAGAAGTTCATATCATATACAGTTAATAATCAAGTTAAATATTTTATCCTAGACCATGATTGTTAGTCTTAGGGTGAGAAAACCTGAAACTATATTTACAACACACTTATTCTGAATATGATACAGAACACACTCATTCTGAATATGATATCTACCCTAACTATTTTAAATTCTATATATAAAATTAAAGGTCTATGTGATAAAAACTTCTGCGCTAAAGCATGTACTAGCTTCTACACTTTTTAACTCCTTTTTTTATTAGTTAATGTTTAACAGATTACTTTGCATTAAGATAAAATCTTATGCAAAACATTGTTTTTAAAATAATTTTTTTTTTATTTAATAAAGAATATTAATTTTACCAGAATAAACACAGCCATGCAAATTTAAGAATGTTAGAAGAACTTTATTCTCTTATAACTTCTTAAATTAGTAGGCAATTGTTGGAATGGTGCAGTTTCTGGTGTTGGTATTAGTGATACTGGCATAGATTATGATGGATGAAAAGACTATGATGGATGAAAATATTGAGAAAATAATACACAGGTGTAAAGAGTTGCAACATACTTCTTATTGGCTGAATGATTGAGCAGCTTTGTACTTTGACCATTGCAAGCACAACTTGCTTTTTTGGTGTATGTTTTACTTTTTTCTTTGCAAGTTTTTTTGAGGCACATTTTATATTAGAACAAATTTGATAATAATTGATCTAAAATTTATATGAAGAATTTATAGTTTCATTGGTCAGTTCAGACATAAGTATTTAGAAAAATAAAAATTAAGCATATTTCATTTAATACATGGATATATTAACTGATAACAATTTCACTTACTTGTAAAAAAAATTATCATGCAGCCAAAAATTCAACAATTTATTTAAAAAAATAACAATTTTCATCAAAATTTTATGTTATTTTATTCAAAAAAAGATTCCTGGTGGATTTGAAGCTTTTAACATCCTAAATTTAAGAGTTCTTTTACGATATCCTAAGTTTAATGGTTAAAAAACTCAACATTAAGACAAAATTATTGACAATTGTTATTGACAATTTTGTCTATCTAACTTAAAGTTAAAAAAAATGATGAAAGAGTTGGAAAAACTGAAGACAAAAGCATGAATTGCCAATTAATATAGTCAAACTTCAGTCTTACCTAATTAATTACACTTAATTGCAAAACAAAACAGGGAATTTTAAGTAATGTCTTATTATGCAACAAAAATAAGCTAAGTAAATAAGTGAACTTCAAGGACGCATAAGAGCTGTGAGAATAAGTTTTTTTGACAAGTTGATTGCTGTTTGGGTATATAATCTTAGTTATTAAAACAAATAAGTATTTACATGTCTAAGTTAGTATTTACATGTCTAAGTTTTCCCAAAACTTGGCTATGTAGCCAAGTTTTGGGAAAAATAACACAATTTAAAAAGTTATCATTTTTCTTATTTCCTTGAGTTGAACTGTTCTAACTTGATTGGTAAAATCAAATAAAAAGCAGCTATTTGGCAAAAAAGGTTTTGCTTGCCTATTTATAAATTAGAATTTTGCATTCCTACTTACTGCACTGAAAACAATATAATTTATTAGATATAATAATGTATAAAAATATAAAATATAATATCATTTTTTAGATATAATAATGTATAAAAATATAATATCATTTATTAGATATAGCTGGATTAGTGTTAAGATATAATAACAATTTTTAAACAAAAAAAATCCTCTGTAATAATAAAAAATTTTATTTGTTAAATTATAGATTTTACAATGTAAAATCTATAACTTTTGCAATGCCTGACTATTTTTTTAATTCCTACTTACTACACTGTAAATAACATGTATTACATAAATATTAACTAAGATTAAATAACAACTTTTAAAAAAGAAAACAAAAAACTAACAGCAATTTCTAAAGTTCCGGCATCAGAGACTTTCAAATTAACTTTTGTTAAATAGCCAGATGTTAAAACAACTTGTTTTAAAATAAAACCACCAGAAAGATTACATGTTTTTCCAGAAGAAGTATAAATTAATGGTAAATCAAACCCATATGCCAATCGCATAATGTCTACAAAATATAAATAAAGGATATATTAAGTTTTATTTTTAATATACAAATCATGTTGTTTATAAAAATAATCAAATTATGAAAGCAAAGCTTATAACAAAAAAAATTTGAAAAAGTTTGTTTTTAAAGAGAATCCAAAATACTTTGGTATGTATCCAAATAATTTTTTTTTTCTTTTCAACAAAATTAATCAAATCAAAGGTTAAATATAATTAAAATTGATGCAACCATTCAGGCTTTAAAAAAATACTTTTGAAATAAAATAATTTAATGTTTTCATACCTGCATAATAAAACAAATTTTTCTTCATGGGGTGAGAAAGAGTTACATTCATGTTTGTTCCTTGGGAGATGACCAAAATAAAAAAGTTATAACCATTAACCAGAAACAAGGATGGGACTATATAAATATCACCAACCATTTCATCAACTTGTATCCAGCTTGTAGCAACAAAAGGATTTGTAAAAGCACTACCTATAACTTGTGACCATAGCTGTAACCCAGGTAAATAAAAGTGGGTTTTCACTGTCGTACCATTGATTGTTTGAACATTTGGTAGTAAGTCATTTGCTATTGGGATTACATATGCACTCGATGCATCACCTAAAGTATAAATATTAACTATATATGAAAATAAACATATGTTTGTGATGAATGAGTGTGTGTATATGTGTGTATGCGCATGCCATGCATGCACAAGTGTGTGTGTTTGTGTGTGTGTGTGGGTGGGTGTGTGGGTGTGTGTGATAATTGTTTAAAATAAGGAACATTATTCAAAATAAAATTTATTGTTAAAAATATTAAAAAACATTAAAGTAGGAAATTCTTTACCTATCAAAATATTTGTTTTTATCTGAATTTCATTATCTACAAGTAAAATACTTGGATAAAAGGTTATATTCCATTCAACAATTCCTAAGCTAAGTGGCAAAACTTCATAGTTACTTAAAAGGCAATCAGCTGCGGTGTCAATCAAACATGTACTTGTTACACAAGGACTATTAAAATTAGATATATTTAACTGTGAAAGTGAAGCATTTCTGCAGAAACAAAGCAGACCTTCAAGAAAAAAAGCATAGAAGAAAACTGGCGAAGTATAAAAATTGCAAACACTGAGACATGAAACATTTGATTCAACATGATAACCACTAGCTGTTAACTGGAAATTTGTTGAACTGTCATTAGTGCAACCTAATAGAACTGTGAGAAAAATTTTAATGCTTAAAAAAATTTATCAAATAAAAGCAATATTAATCCAACTTAATTACAAAAATAATAAAATAAAAAATAAAATAATATAAAGATTAAACTTTAAATTTTTTTAAATTTTATTACTTATAGAGTTATATAAATATATATATATGATCAAAATTATTATATTAGCACTTTATTAACAAGCACAGTATTAAAAGTTGCTTCATTCTTTTTACCATCTATGAGGATCTGTTTGAAATTGTGTTTTTTATATAAATTCTCTAGAAGTCCAGTACCCATCTATAAGATAAGGCCATATTTCATTTAATACATGGATGTACATGGATACACATGTATATAAATAAAGTACATGTTCTAAATAAAACAAAACAAATGTAATTGAGAAACCATACTAATTTATGAATTACCTAGAATCTAAATTTTTGTTTACAACTTGATACTTTTTTGATTTTTTTTATATATTTTCTGGTACATTGTATTCTTTTGCTTATGGGTCAGGTACAAATTAAAATCGGTAAATAATTTTGACTTATTTTAAACAGAACATAAAAAAGTTCAAATTACTAGTTTTAAACATCCATATTTTATGAGCGGCCAGTTATCTAACTTTTATATTGGGGAGTGCAGTCTTAAATCTAAAATGTTAAAACCAAGGCAATGGTCACACAACAAATTTTTAATAACTAGAATATTCAAACTTAGTTGAATATTCTAATAGAATATTGAATATTCTAATAATCAGTCTAATGCTAAGGTTTAAATAATTTTTAAATAATTCAAAATAGTAAAGCTAAATATTTTTCTTTTATAATTTATTTATTTTTCTATATCATTTACCATAACATTATGTGTTCCAAAAAAATAATTGACATATACAGACTTCTGATTTTAAAGTGCCAAGCCTTATTCAGTCATATGCAAACTAGAGTTAAAAAAGGTTCATTCAATTTTGACAGTGTAAGACTACTTATGTTCAAAATCTGTGCTGTTTCATTTACTAAACAACCTTTAACCATTTTTTATCAAGTCGAGAACAATAGAAACAGTTCTTTTAACAGTTGGTGGTTGTTACCATATTGGTAATATGGTAATATGGTAACCCCAACTATAGAATATGACCATTTTTAGATGCAACAATCTAAAATTTAATAAAAACCTCTGTAACTGTTGAGCAAAACTCTAGCACCATCTTTAAATGTTTTTCATTCAATTGCACTTTGAGTTTAATATTTAGGCATGGTTTCCACATAAAAACTAAGATGTTGCAAAACTAGAGCAACATCTTAGTTATCATGTGGAAGTACAACTTCATGTTATGAAATAGATGTATTAATATAACAACTACTTAATCTTGACAAATGCAACTTTTTATTCTTAACCACATTAAAAGACTGTCTAATAAAATTAAATAAAAAAGACTGCCATTAAATTTCAAAACCAAATAAATTAATAACCGAGTCGCAATTCCATGGAATACTCTAATCCACTTACTGGTATTTGCCACTACATTAAACAAATATAAGAATAAGTTCACAAGCAACATGCTGTAAATGCTAGAGCAGAATTTTGCATCTGGTATGTTCTTCTTAAAATAGAAAAGATAACAAAACATATTCCCCTGCTAATTTTAATAATCATTATATATTTTTGTAATTTTGTAAATATTCTGTTTCCTACTTTAGGCTGAATTATATCAAATTCAAACATACTAAAATTTTTCTATTTAAGTGATAAAGCTGAAACTGAAAAAAATATGGTAAAGTAATTACTATTTTTGCAAAAATTGTTTTTTAATGCCATCCCATAAGATACTCCTTAAACCTTAATGCTTTCAAGTTTTGCAAAACCCAAAAATATATTGATTGGAAAATTCCACTGCTTTTTACACAGTAAAGAATTTACATTTCTAATGTTAATTTTTGCTGATTTTTCAATCCAGCGGATAATTGGTCATGAAATTATAATCAACAAAAAAAATCTCAAGAAGCACTAAATAGTGCCTGGCATAATGATCAGAACTTAAAAGCAAATGTAAAAAATTGCATCTAAATATGTCAAGAAGGATACAAGCAATAATTGATGCAAAAGGCTGTACAACCAAATACTAAAAAAAAGTTTTCATATAAAATAGTGTTTTACTTTTTAAAGAGAATTATTTTTTTAAGCTAGTAGCACTAATATTTATATAAAAATTTAACGTAAGAATATGTAAAAGAGCTTAAAATGGTTAATATGATATTTTTTGCAAGTGTAACTAATAATATATATTATATAAATGATATACATATATTATATAATAATATATATATATATATATATTAAATAGTATATATATATATATATATATATATATATATATATATATATATATATATATATATATATATATATATATTTATATATATGCATGTATGTATAAATAGATATAGATATAAATAGATATATTTACATCATACCTGACTGAATTTCAGCAAAAATGATTGTCAAAAAGAATACAACAATACAAACACTATTCTAAAACAAAAACATAGTATAATTAAACATAGAATAAGTACATTACTCTCATTAAATTTGGATTGGGAAAATTATAAATATAAAAAAAAAAGTTTTTTAACATAAAACATAAACAACAAAAAAAACTTAATAAAATTTAATAAATTTGCTGTTAAACGATAAATCATAAAACTTTTTTTATTTTATTTATTTTTACAGATACAACACCGAAAAAAACTAATAATAATAAAATTTATTAATTTCTTATTTTTGCAGGAAATACATGTCAAATTAATTGAAGAAAATTTATCCACAGTTTCAGAGCCATATAATTTATCTACCTTATGATATGAGCATTTTATATATTTTCATTAGCAATACAGAGACTAAAATTTAACTAAAGCTTTTTCTTCCAAAAGGGTAGCTCAATTTTACTGCTGTTTTTAATCCTTGCATGTATGATATCACTTCTTAGTTTTCCTAGATGATCAAATAAATCAAAGAGTGGAAAGAAACATACATTTTTATAAAATCTTTTAGAAGAGTTTTGTCAATATCATATTTATAATTTTTCAAAGCTGTTTTTTTCAGTTCACAGTTATTCGCTTTTGAGTAAAATTTAAAACAAAGTTTTTCAATTTAAATTTTTTCATTCTTTGAAATTTTTCTTTGATAGTTACTTTGATAAAGTACTTTCAGTACTTGATCAAAGTAACTATCAAACTTATTTAACAGATGGATTTTTGTTGATGGTTTATAAATCTTAATTTTTTGGTTTAGATCTCTATAAAACATTAAAAGAAATTTGAAATTTAATAAAAATATATTATATTTAGAAAATCTAACTTTTATATAATAAAAAAGAATGTTTAAATTAAGTGGAAAACTGATACTTAGTTTTGAAATTTAAAAAAAAAAGGGTTTTTTGTGGTTGTTATTTAGCCATGGGTTTGATTCTAATTAATTTTTTTCTTTTTTCTTTCTGTTTTTTTTTTGGAGGGAAAGGGTTAATTAAAATCCGTTTGAGTAATACATTTTAAATATTAAATATATTTATTTTGAGTAATATATTTATTATATATATTGAATATATTTATTTTGAGTAATATATTTTAAATATTAAATATATTTTAAATATTATTAGTTTTTTTGTTTTAATTTGGTGTTGTAAGATAAAGAGACAACTAAGGTTATTTGAGGGTATTAAAGATTATTTGACAAAATTTTAAAAAACACAAAACTAAAAGGCAACAACACAACTTTGAAAATACGTACTTTTGTAAAAACTACTTAATTATTTCTTTACTCATTTTAACTATTTTTTATACTCATTTTAACTTTTACAAATGCCTATATAAGTTCAATATGAATTAAAATTGAATATGAAATAACATTACCATAGGTTAAACTATAATAAGCTTTAACTCATATGATTTAAAGTTGTTAAAAAGTTTAAGAATTATATTCAACTGCAAAAGTAAGCATTTTTAAGTTATACCATATAAATTTACGAAGAAACAATTTTATCATGATAACAACGATGGCAATAGATAACTTTTTGTCATTGTTCTTATCATGATAAAATTATTTCTTTATAAATTTATATGGTAAAGCTTAAAAACAAAGTGAGGAGAAAACGCCTAAATGAATTAGAATTCCTGCAAAATTAAGAACAACATCAGGCGTTTGAAAAATTAACTGTAACTTTTAATATTTATGCGACAAAATTGTAGACATTATGACAATATAACTTTAAATTTAATATGTTTTACTGTTGTTATTTCTGATTTAGTTCCTTAAGTCTCAATTTTTATACTTTTTATATAATAATTATGAAATTAAAACAAAATTAATAATTATTAATTAATGTTTAACAAATAATTAATATTTTTTTAAATGAAATTTCGTTTTAATTTTATTGTCTATCAAGTTAAATGCACCATTAACACACCACTAAAATGTAACATTAAAAATGGTTTTAATATGTTACATTTTATAATGCACTTGTAGTAAATATTATAATATTTACCACATATTATAATATTATAAATTATGTAGTAAATATTATAATATTTACTAGAAGTGCATTGATATTTTAGTTAACATTTTTTTATGATTTCTGTGGGTTTTTTCATGACAATGTAATTGTATTTGTTTGATTGTTTTTAATTGACCATTCCGTCCCTTGGTTTCCAATAGTTATAAAAATGCTGTACAACGGTTGTTGCCGAAATTGATCTAATTCTTTTTCCGCAACCTTTATTTTACAACATAAATTTTGTTGTGCAACCGACGTTTAGTTGTGCAACTTACGCAAGAAAATGTTTCCATTAGGGGCTGTTCATTAATTAAATCAACAAATTTTTTGAAACTTTTACCTCCTCCCCTCCCCCTTGTCAACAGTTTGTCAAATTTCCAGATACCCTCCCCCTCCCCAATAAAATTACGTCAACTTTTGATTAACCCCCCCCCCCCCTTTAAAAAGAAACGACGTTACAAACTCAGCCTAATTTTCCGTTATTTAAAAAAAAAAAAAAATATTGACGTCAACTTTAATTGACCTCCCCCCTCCCCCGTGTCAACAATTGTCATAAAAGTTCAGACCCTCTCGTAATTAATGGACAACCCCTTATACAAAATTGTTGTACAACAGTTGTACGACATTTCTACAATCGTTGGAAACCAAGCTTAAATGATAGCTTGCTTCTTCATCCCTAACTTTTCCTTCTTCCTCCTCCCCCCCCCCTTCCTTCATCCTATTCCTGCATTCCCCTCTTCAGAAAAACTTTTTTTTTTTAATTTCATTTTATTTTATTTATTTTGCTGTTAAACAAAAATAACCAACATGCATATATACAAAAAAGAACAAATGTGTCCATATAACGAGCACCGTTTTTATATATACAATATAAAATATAAACTTTTCTATTTACAATGATCTTTATAAAATAAAGAATTTTTTTTGTATTAATTTTTATTTAGGTGCCCCAAGAAGTCCTTACAATCTTATCACAGAGTACCACGGATGAGTATTTAATATAAGTTCACGCCTCCTTCTTCACCGATGTCGCAAAACTTACCCAGAGGTGGGTTTTAAACCCGGGATCCTTTATTTGATGGCAAGTACGCTACCACTACGGTGCGGCTGCCCAACGATAGCTTAAGCAGACAGGGGATCAAAGAAGATGAAGATGACAATACGTCAATCTTTTCAAAGAGCCCCGATATATGCTTTCAATAGAATTTCGATACGATATTAATAACCCTAATTGGCATAAAACTGCTACGCTGATTAGTAAATTAAAAAAAGATTACAAAAACTGAAAAAATAGAATCTAATAACTTCAGAGTTACTTAATCACAAATGAATCTTAAACTTTAAAAATTTCTTATTTCGATTTGAAACTTAAATGAACTTAATGACTTTGCCAAACATTTAAATTCTTTTTAATAGATATTCCATATATTTGAACCTTGATATGCAATGCTATATTCAGCATATTTAATAATTGTTTTAAGGCAGTTTACATGTATTACTTATATTTGTTCTTAAATAACAGTTTTCAAATCTATTTATTTCAAACTTGTTTTTAAGGTTTTTAGGAGAGAGATTATTGTTGAATCGATATATAAAAATTTTGATAGATATTTATTTCAAAATTTTCTATCATTTTCACATTTTGAACCGCAAATCGTCATATACAATTAAACACTATTTATTTAATGATTGAATGTTAGATTTGAAAACTTTGAATAAAAAAGCTCTTAGTATTGTGTGCGGAGTCCCAAGGGGATTGATCCTCGGATCCAGGACCGTCCCGAAGAGCTCTTTTATGGGGGGGGGGGATGTTATCTGTATTTTTTACCAACTAAAGACACAAAAAAAAAAAACCCCAATAATTGTAGTTTGCCAATCATAGTTCAAAACTTACTCAATGTGCCAACCCAAATGCTTATATGACAATTTGAGAGGAGAGGGTGAAACACCCCTAAACACCTCGTTCGGGACAGCCCTGCTCGGATCAGTATTTTTTTTAATATACATAAATGATATGAATAAAACTTTTCAAAAAATAGCTTCAACTTGGTATGCTGACGATGCTAACTTCAATGCAAAAATATTGTTCAAAACAATAAATATAGAATTCAAAAGATATAACCAATAGTTTAAAGCAAATAAAAAGATTATAAAATCCTTTCCCTGTAATGAAATTTATTAATGTACTAGACAAATCAAGACAAAACTCTTTTCATATACTAATATTTATGTACAAATATAAAAATTACTTGCTGCTAAAAGTATTTTCTGATATTTTTACATCGGCTTTTTCTCAAAAATATAATCTTTGACTAATAATATTAAAGCTATCCCTTAAGCTGAATAAGATCAAATGTGTCAAAGTCTCGTCATTATGGAAACAAATGTGTCAAAGTCAGGCTCGTCATTATGGAAACAAATGTGTCAAAGTCTCGTCATTATGGAAACAATTGAAAAATAATAGTTTATAAGGTTTTATAGCATTTTTGCTTTTAAACAATTTCTTTTAAACATCAAGAATGACCATATAAAATCTGCGACCCCCTCAAATTGAGGGGGGTTTAAACTTTATATGGTTATAAATTTTGAACGCTAAAATATTTTACTATGAAACTTAAAATTATCGATGAATATAAGTCTAGTTGAAAATAGTATAAAAAATATTTCATCAACTTGTTGCTCTCTCGTTTGGGGAAGGGGGGGACAAAATTTTAGGGTTTTTTTATTCCAAAGCTCCAATCATCGCATTTTTTTGGTAAGCCCCCTTATTTGACATAAGTATAAACGTATAACTGTTTGGAGTTTGCTCCAAGTCTGGAAGTTAGCTATCTCGAAGACCAAAAAATGCCATTGACACCACTGTTTGAAACCTTACTCAAAAAATTACAAGCGAGTTTAATTATTTAATGGTATCAAAAACGTTCTAAGTTGCTCCATTAAAGGTAGTAAGAAATCCTGTAAAGCTATTATAGCTTCAGAACGA